TTTCCGTTCTAAGGAAACTGGGTCATGGGAAAACCGGGCGAGTTCCGTTAAATCATCAGTGATGCATGTTGTTGCTGTTATCGATCGCCCCTCAAGGAATTGTCTTTCAAAAAAACGACGACTTCGGCGATATCCGTGAAAGATGAAACGCCCCCCCCCCGCTGAATTTCACCCATTCCAATAGCGCTCTTGGATCGCACGATCGCGAAGTGTGAACGCGCTCTAAGAAAGTATACTCTAGATCGCTGCGGACGAAGAGTGTCAGGCAGTATGAGTGTGGAACGGCACCAAACCCGCTCTCTGCGAATCTTGTTGAGGAATATTGTTGAAGCGAGTGTGCGACAGCAGGTGGTAGAAAACGAATGACAGGAACACCTGACACGCCCCTCCGTACGCAGTGAACTAGACCATGAATATCGATGGAGCGCTTTGAGCGCATGCCAGTTCAGCGACCGAAAGCGATTGTTCAAAACTAGTCATGGAACATTCAAAATGCTGGCCAACGCTAAAGCGCTAGTTGGATTCCAGTATTATTCTAGTCGCTAATGACGCTAAAATGCTGATGAAATGTATGAACGCAGCCTTAGCTCCGTCCCCTTGCGTTTTGAGAGAATCGTAGCCTCGTGGAATCGGAGGAACTGCGAAGAAGATGAGATTGGAATCGATTAATCAACTCTCAAACGGGTAATTGACGAATCAGATTCGTATCTACTTCTTTTTAAGAATTATCCCAACTAGGCGGTTCTCCAGCTCAGAACTGAGTACAAGCGACGCCTTACTACATGTTCCTCCAGCAAATGAACCAAAGCATCCCACTGTGAAGGTAATCCGACTGTTTAACCTTGACGGATCACTGACACTTGAAGGCAGTTGGCACGATAATTTGATACTCAGCCTAAAATGCTAGCAGGGCGCTATCTAGGGATAAAATGGCGAAAAAACGAAGTGAAACGGTCAAAAACTGCGAAGAAAAGCCTTCGTTCTTGAGAAGCAATTTCGGACGAGTTTCCCGTAGGCGTGTTGCAAATAACCGCTCCGGCAGGTACGGCTGCCTGTATGTACTCATATATCCATTCAGCACCGCAGCCGCTTCATACTAATCCCTTCGCTTTATGTTTTACTCAGCAAATGAAGCAAAACGAGCATCTGGTAAGGTCGTCCATTTGTGGGCGGGCGTGGTGGGCGTTTGGGTCGGAATGTTGTAGCTTGATAGGACCCTTATAAGGGTACCTCCCTCGGAAAAACCGCTATGCAGCGCCTACTCAGGGTCGCGGAAATCCGCCCTGCCACTCGTATCAATCCTACTCGTTTTTAGGGATTAATCGTGCCAACTGCCTTTAAGTAGGATATCGTGGCTTAAACTCATTCATTAGCTCGTGTTCACACATTGCGTAAGCGAAGAATTGGAGGATCGGCGATCTGCGACATTGTAGACCAATGGGAGTCCGAGCAGAGCAAATAATGAGTCGGGGACCTTTTTACAGTTTCGGTTTGTTTTTTCCTAGGGCACGTCTTGCCGCTGGGAAAAATTTTTGATCCATGACTTTTTGTTTTCTTCTTCCCTGGAGAGTCACTTAGAGGCTATAGCTTTGTAACTGAACGCCACTGTTCACAATAAGTAACCGTGCAGTTTGCCTTTAAAAACCCGACGAAAAGTATAAAGGCAGCCCGGACAAACATCACCTCGAACGTCGGAAATTTGTGTGTAGCACTACTCGAGACTTTTCGAGAATGAGTCATTGTGAATCATGACTTCGCAACAGATTGTGCTACGTTGGTTTCAAAAAGCCGTCAATAATGCCCACGAAACATTGTAAGGCGATTTCGCCCTCGTCTCGCAACGATCCCCTAGAAAAAAACCTAACACTGTGCATGAGTTATCACCCAAAGAACGCTACTTTCAACGAGAGTACTCATCATAATGGAACGTGACTGAAAGCACAGATACGTGACCGCTTGAAAAAGCAAAGAATCATAATCCTTGAAAAAACGGGACAATGATGAAAAGCGTCACGCAGACAGTGGAAACATATTTGAATTGCAGGCACACGAGAGCGTATTGAGGAACGAAAGCGAATCAAGAGGCAAAACCCCTAACATCCTCCATCCCCGCA